GAAACAGTTAACTTGAGTCATTCAACAGTTTTCAATATCATTAAACGATATGAAAAGAATCATATGATTCAGTATAAAAGAAGATCTGGCCGACCATCATATCTATCCAATGGAATAAAGCGAATTATCGTTCGAAATATTAAAAAAAATCCAAGAATGAGTGCTCCTAAAGTTTCTGCTGGTTTACAAGCATTATATGGAGTAATTGGTAATTCTGAGACTATTAGAAGAGTAATTCGATCTGCTGGATATCACGGTAGAGCAGCCAGGAAAAAATTCTTCGTAAGTGAAAAGAATAGGAAACTCAGACTGGCTTTCGCAAAATCCAACATAAATAAGAATTCTGATTACTGAAATGGTTATATTTGCTGATGAGAGTAAATTCAATATATTTGGTTCTGACGCTGGAATCTTCGTGTGGAGAAAACCCAGGGAAGAATTTCGCAAACAGGACTTGGTGCCAACAGTTAAAACATGGTGGAGGAGGAGTTATGGTATGGGGGTGTATGTCGTCCGCTGGAGTTGGTAATCTTGTTTTTGTTGACAGTATAATGGATCACTACAAGTACATTGACATTTTAAATCAAAATTTGAAATCTTCGGCACGAAAATTGAACCTTCATAACGATTTTAAATTCTACCAGGGCAATGACCCCAAGCACACTGCTTTGAACGTTAGACTCTGGCTGCTGTATAACTCTCCTGGAAATAATAAAAACACCACCACAATCTCCAGACTTAAATCCCATAGAAGAATATTTGGCAAAAATTGGAATCAAGAATTCACAAACACACCCATTTCTTCAAAACAACAATTAAAATCGGTGCTTCAAGAAGAAATGGGGTAAAATCACTCCAGAAATCACAAAAAAAATTAGTCGAAACCATCCCAAGAAGATTAAATCATGTTTTAAAAAGTAAAAGGATATCCAACAAAATATTAAAACCTTTTAAAAAGTAAAATTTTTGGATAAATATTTGATGGAAAAGTAAGTGTCCCATCACTTATGTGAGCCATTTTTTGCTCCGTTCTAAGCAATTGTATTTTTATTAAATTATTATTTTAATATTTTGAGAAAATGTATATTATGTAATAATTGTTACTAAATTTTAGTGTGAAATACACCCACAAAAAATTTTTACACTTTTTTTATTTATTTTACTACAGTTTCCTTTTGTAAAGCACAAGTGTCCCATCGTTTTTGTGAGACACTGTAGATAGCTTGGCACAAAATGGGACTTTACTGAAATAACATACCAACTTTTACCATATTTCGATTCTACGACTCAAATTAAGCCAAACTACCAAGTTTTGTAAAAATCGCACGCGTAGTTTTTAAAAAATGAGCTCCCAAAATTTTATTTAGCTCCTCAATGTTAATTGAGTTTGGTATATATTTACTAATTTCTCTTTTTGTATTAAACTTATTTGATTCTTCCTCTCACATTTTAAATTTTAGGTTCATTCTAAATAAAATTCCCCCATTTTTTAGATTTATTTTTAAAATTTGTATTTTTAAATCATTTTTATAAATTTTTCAAAAACTTTTTGAATTATAATCTATAAAGTTTTTACCATCATCTTAAAGTAGGCGTATTTGTAAGCATACCTGCAAAAAATTAGTTTTTTATTCAAAATTTCCGAAGATATACGTGAATTTATATACGGGCCCGTTTTGAAATTTGGCTATTTGTTGAAAGCGATAAAACATAAAATGTGGTTTAGACACGTTGCTCACTATACAGTGTTCTAAAGTAAATCATTTTCATTCAAAAATTGACAAAAATCGTTTGACAAAATATGATTAAACACTCCAATGCAAACTGTTTGCGCAGACGATATTTGCGGTGGAGGGAAAACCTTCATTATAATACAGTGCTGTAAATTATGTGAATATAAATAGCAGAAATGAAATGGAAGCGTAAATTAGGTAATACTCTTTTGGAATAAAATTTATTTATACGTGTTTAGATATTTGATTACAGAGAAATTTATTTACATTTAAATGTTTCCATGATATGTAGTTAGCACTTCAACTATATATATATAATGTAGAGAATGTTTATATTCGTTATAAGTTATATAACGAATATAAATATTAGTATATAAGTTAAATAGTATTTATATTAGCACAGAATATTTATATTATAGGCCAGACCTCTTTATTATAAGCCTCTGATAGGCCCTCAGCGAAAATTCAGTTTTGATTAGATTTATCATTTAAATTTTTTAATAGAGAATATAAACACTAATATAATAATAATTGTATTACAAAAACTAATGTAATAATAATTGGGTCACAAATATTAAAAGAGTAGCGAAAGAATGTCTGACATAATGAAAAAAAATAAATATATACGCAATTTTTAGTCATCAGTTAATCTTCATAAAAAATATAAATTTTTAATTTTTTGGATTTTCATGCCAGAAAATAGATTAATAATACTATCTTCACAATATAACAGTTGGAAAATATTATTTTTTAATAGCAAACATTGCTGAAGACTTTATTCTTTCCTATCCTATCTAAATTTCGACAATAATTTTTAACTTGTTTTTTAAAACAGAGAAAAATCCTCTCGGGATGCATCATTTGCAAACATATAGTTAAGTAAATTCTTATCGAGGATTCTTATCTTCAATACTTGAAGAAAATATCTTTGTACTATGTAATAAATAGTAAAAAATGAAGAAATTAAGAATAACAAGTAGCACAAATAACCAAAATTTTACTAAAATGAATATTTAACCAAAATGATTGCAGTTTCATTGGTGTTTAGTGCACCATTAATTAAAGGGGTTTTATTACAGTGGAGCTTAGTCCTTGACCCTTAATAGATAAAAATTGAACTAAACCTTTTCAGTTTTTTCAGTATCAGTTTCATTGAAGTAAACTTTTAACTTTCATAATTTGGTACATTCTTAAAATAAAATCTAAATTATTTAAAAACGTGAAATATTTTTTCAATTCTTTATATTTTTTATACTTCGTACCAATTTCGATAAAAACTTTTACAAATAAGATAGAATATATTTATTTTAAAATCTGCTTGACTAGTTAAACTGATAACTTCATCAGCTACACTTTCATCAAAAAGGGCTTTCCATTTTCTAGGTATTTTTTTAATATTAATAGCTTAAAATAAGATATCGGATATTATTAATTTTCAGTTTCATTTATATTTACACCTAAAACTACCTAATTATTAATATATACCAGCAAATGGGATTATTATGCGTTATTTATCACATTCTCCAAAAAATGCGTATTATTAATAATAACGGGCTATTATTAATACTAAACGAATTTTTTAAACGTAAGATAAACATTGATACTAACTTGGAACAACGAAGAAGAGCTGCAAGTTGAAGCTCAACGAGTAGAAAGATATTTTGATGCCTCTGCTTTAAAAGAAGCGGTAGTATTATCAACTTTAAAATATACATGTATAAGTCTTATAACGAATTTAATAAATTAATTTTGAATTTAAAAAATGAATTCAAAGCAATATGGTCTTACTTGAATATAAAGTAGAGTGAAATTGAATAAAATAATGCGATACACATTGCAGTGTAAAGATTATGCAGTTAAAATGTTTATAATATAAGAAAACTAAATGCATATTTTTATATTTGTTGTTTCTTAATCTCATCCAAGTGATGAAATATTCTGCATCACTTAGCTAGAGCAACGAGAGTGCTTTATCAGACAAACCATTTCGTAGAGCATTTTGGAAACTTTCTGAAATTAATTTTACTAGCATAAAAAAAAAATTCTTGCTATTTTTATATTTAAAATTTCAATTTTTATTTATTATGATTATTTATTATGAGCAACTGCTAGTTAAAAATGTGAAGAGATCCACCAGTTTCTTTAGAATATGAAATGAACAAATCAAAACAATCAGTTTTCAATTTAACAAAAAATAAGACAGTTAATTTACTCACCCCCCCCCCCCAAAAAAAAAAAAAAAAAAAAAAGAGAGAGAGAGAACAGTCAAAGGGCAAAAGTTGATAGAGGTCACCGGAATGAAATTATACGCGTTTCTCACAGTATACTCGACTTAACGAACGAATTATTTTATATTGTATTAAATTTACAAACTTGTAATATCCAGCTTTTACGGTCCTTCCCAACTTTTTCCTTTTACTATTATACAGTGAATAACCAGGATAACAAATTAACATATGCATTTGGAATGTCTAATTTGACTGTCTATCCTAATATTTTTGGCCTACTCCCCCCCCCCAAAGTACATAGCAATGTTTGATCCATGAATTACAGACAAAAATTTTAACCAGACCTTCACACATACGCACTTAAAAGAAGGGGGGTAAAAGCTGGTTTATAATAACTGTCGACTCTTTTATAGGTTCATGCAATACTTTTCTTAGGTCATTTAAAGGTGAAATTATTGATCCATAATACATCCGATTCAGTTTAATTAAAATATAAAATGTCACCCTAGCTGTATTGTTGCAGTCAAACGTCATCTTATTCGATTATTGAAGTTTCCTTCGCTTACTAGCATGAAAATGTTTTGATGAAAATTACTGCCCTGTTTTAATTTCAGTTTCGCTTCAATTCATAAACTATTTAACTAATACTGAATCAGTTTCGTATCGCATCAAATATATAAAATCCTGAATTCTCTCTGTCTCTTTTATTTTTATAATTTTAATCACTTAACACGAACAGATATTCGATACACAATTAGAAAATGAAAAGCCAATATTCTTAATAAATAATAAATAAATTGTTTGAAAAATCAAAAAACGAAATTTGTCCTTGAGCTTTGTAATTTTTTGTTGTTTACAAAACTCTTTAATGTATACAAAGTAAAGTTATTGTGATCCAAAACATCGTAGAACCTCACACTCTGTGAAAACTAAATAATTATATATGTATATAATATTTCATCATATTTCAGTTGAGCAATATAAGGACTTACATCTGAACTTAGTAATACTCATTGTAATCTAAAATATATAATATTACCTGTATTTTTCCCATAGGATATTACGCGCTTTGGCCCAAGTTTCAAAACAATTCCCTATGGAAACGTGCAGTTTCTGCGCGTGCTTACTCTGTGCTAATTGTTTCCACTCTGGACCACGTGCTCGACATCTGACAGACACTAGCGGCAAATATGTGCAGTCTGTTTACAGACCGGCACCTTGACTCAGACCAAAAAAAAGAAAATGATTCTGTCGCAGATGAATAAGCGTAGTTGGAAGACCAATTTAGCAGCAAAACTGGCGCAGAACAGCAGGTGATTCTTATGTGTATAAACCTACTGTAAAATCAATTTTATTGTGAATCGAAGTTTATTGATTTTACCTTTCCCTTTCTATTCTCTTAACTATCTTCCATATTTTCATACTGATCGCAGAATCGTCAACATGTTTGGAAATGAGTCGTAGACGTAGTTCTTACTCACCTATACCTTTGAGATGCATCATCAAATGCAATACATTAAATTAAATAAATTGAATTAAACTGTTGAGTCACAACTTAAGGCGAGTGTGATGAAAATGTGAATTTTTATGAATTCCAACAAAAGAAACCGTTTCACATTTCTAAATATTTGCATATACTTGCGAATTATGATCAGTAAATAACTTATATTAAGCTCAAATTTAATTTATTAGACCAGGGATGGACAAACTTTATCGGTCGCAGGCCAAAAATCGAATATATAATACAACTTAAATATGTTAATGAGATGAATTAAATTGCGATTCTATTTTTAAAACTACCTTATATTAAGGTCCGAAGTGAGATGTACTGATTCTAAGGAACGAGGCTAAATGCTCATCTGTCAGTCTATTTCTGAAATAATTCTTTCTAAGGTTCATAGTTGAAAACATTTGTTCACATATGTAAGATGAAGCAAACATAGCACTGATTTTCTCGACGTGAGATATTTCGGAAACTTACTTTCGATAACGATTTGCAAAACTCTAACTTTGGCATATTTAGAAACAACTGCTTGAGATGATTGTTAGATTGCAACTCAATTAATTCAAGCTGCAAATCTGACCTCATTGCTTCAAAATTTATGTTGAAAGGCATGGTAAAAATATCCAATTCTGTTCGAATGGTACTGACATCTTGAAATCTGCGTTCGAACTCAAAATACAGTTTTTTTCAAGCCATCTTCATAATTCCTAAGTTTCTCTTCATTCACTGAGGGTATTGAATTTTACCTCGGGAAATCAGACAAGTCGTTCTTAGCTAGCTGCCCAGCAAACAGATTAAGTTTTAGTTTAGAAGCTTTGAGATGGGCCCAGATATCGTCGATAAATTGATTTTCCCCTTGCATCTTGACATTCAAATTGCTCATCTGACAAAGAAGATCAGTGAATAATGCAAAGTCCAAAAACCATTCTGTATTTTTTAACATTTCGCGCTCTGCAGAACACTGTTTCTCATGGAAGAACGACACAATGTCGTATTTCAACTGCCAAACTCGCTCGAAAACATATCCTGCATTAAAACCCCTTACTTTCGTGTAATACAGCATATCAGTATACTCAGATTGCACGGAATGAATAAAATCGCGCAATTTCCTGTGAGTAAGCCCACGAGATCGAATAATATTTACAAGCACGGATTTCATATGCAATGCAGATTTGCAGAAAGCATCTTGATGTATAACACAATGTAGAAAAACAACATTGTTCCCGGGATAGCTTTGATTAAAGAGTCCATGAAATCCATTTTTTTCCTGTCATATTTGGAGCTCTAACGGTCGTAATAATAGGCACTTTCAAAATTAAAAGCCCTTCCTGAAATTCAAGAAAAATCTCACATATCGCAGTTCCTTTCCAAGAACGCATGCACGCCAGTTCCTCGGTTATTTCAAAATGCTCATCAACACCTCTTATAAATAATACTATTGAGTAGTATCATTTATATCAGTGCTTTCATCCATAGCTATGGAGCAAAATTTAAAGTGGCTAATCTTTGACTAATTGTGATGTCAAATTTTTATCGATGTCTCCGATCCTAGAAGTTACCGTTTTTCGAGATAAGCTTACAGCCTGAAAATTATTTTTCTTGTCTGAACATAAAATATCACAAACTTAGAGCATGCATTGTAGCTGCTTCTTGGATATTGTTTACCTTCTTTAAAAAATTTTGTCAGGCTGATAATTTTTTACAAAGACTTTCTGCATTTTGTTTTGTTGCATATTCGGACATTGCTTTGTAACTGGAATTCTTATGCTCAGATGTGAAATGACGGAAAATGTTATATTCTTTGAAGACTGCTACAGCTTCATTGCAGATGAGACACACTAGTTTATCTTTTACAACTGTAAAAAAATATTTTCAGGTCCATTCATCACTAAAAGTACGTCACTCTAAATCACCTTTAAGTTTTTTAGTAGCCATTTCGAGGTTGAAAGATTTTACGAATAACCCAAACAAGCACTAGCTATGCTATACGTTTAATAATTTCACCACCATTCATAACGATGCTATATGTCCGCAATCTGTCCATACGCAATCAATAATATTAGAACTCGAGCCAAATGAGAAAGCCACTAGCTGGAGCTTAAAATGCGCAGTCTGCAACATGTGAGATTTAATTCACCTATACTGGATTTCCATATCTCTGCTCCCCGAGAAAGATATAACGCTTTTCAGCGCCAATCTACAGTTATAACTAACAAAGAACTTCCGCTTTTGACACTTACCGATTGAAAGCTGTCCGTGCTTGCTATTTCCGTCGATTTACGTTTTGTAGAACAAAAATAGAGAAAGTAAAAAGATTACCAGTCCTTTGAAAAAAAGGAAGAAAGCAATAATATTTAGACAAAATAGAAAAGAAGATGGATATATAATATAAAATGTCGTTCAGGGACATCTCGATGCCTTAGGGAAAAATTATGAATAACTGGTTGACATTTAAGGATTTTATCATTTATTTTTACCGAAAATAATTATTCCTGTATTAGTAACACATAATGAAAATTTGGCTTACCTGAAAAACATCATAGGTCATATAAATGCAATGAAAAACACAAAAGCCAGATGTCCACTTCTCCCTTAAGTGCGGGAGATCTCGAAAGGTATCTATGGGGCGCAGTCGTCGAAGATTTACTATAAACACGCTGACACGATCAGCGACACAGCCTCCAGGTTATCAGGCTATCACAGTGGAGACAGCTTCACTGCAAAGCACCCGAGTACAGCTCCCAACTCTGCTTTGTTGTTCTCGGAACTCCACGTACTCTCGAGACTGTCCACACGATGCACTCGACGATACACAAGAGTATAACTCTCGACTCAGCACAGGCTAAGACAAAACTCGACGATTCACTAAAAGACTCTCTCGATGCACTCGACGGCCACCTTGGCGCTAGACTTCGAGACACTCGCTCAATGACTGACTATCAGCTAGCTAGACGAGGCACACACACTCGATGAGAGACGCACACTAACTGACTGCGGACCAGCAGGGTTTATATAGCTTTCGGCTTGTGTTCGGGAACATTCTGGGCTAAACCGGTAAGAATTCGTTCCAGAAGGTTCTCCAACCGTCCATGGTATATCGCCAATTTTGTCAAAAATGGGCGATTTTTCGCCAAATGTGGCAACCCTGCCATACTCTGTCATTTTATGGCAACCTTAAAACTGCTTTGCGGGGAAGCCATCTTACCGCACCTTTACATTTCGTAACACTATGAAGAACTTACCTGACAGATTATTAATATTTATTTTCTTGATCAATCTCTGACTTGACAACACTTTCAGTTCACAAAGACGCACTACACTTTTAAATTATTCCAATACAGTGGTTTCCATATGCGACACCAGGGTGCAGACTACTCTACTAAGGAACTTCCTTAAAAGTGTCGAGATCTCCCAAGTGTCGAGATGTCCTAGAACGACTATAAATATATATTTCTTTTAATTTGCCTCGGACTGGCAAATTAAAATTCTATCCACGGACCGGATAGAACCTTCCGGCGGGCCGTAGTTTGCCCATCCCTGTATTAGATTATGGTAAAGCATACTGCGGCTGTCTGCCTAAGGTGAAGAATGACTTCGTGGAACAGTTTCGAAGGAATCTGAGTCGTATTCATGTTAAACATGGGAAAAACCACGACCATGCTCATGCATCTAGCCCGTTCGCCGGGATTTGAATCCAGGTGAAATCACTAGTGTTCAGTTGTTTTATTTGCTCAACGGTTTGTACATTATAAAAGAAAAATCCTATTTTATCTTAAAAAAATGCAATTTTTACACTTTGCAATGAAAACATTATGCAGCAGTTAATAAAAAAAGGTGGGTCGAATCCTAAATTTTCTCAAATCTTAAAATGTTCTCAAATCTCTTGAATTCTTTATATAAAAATAATACAGTCAAAAGTCGTTAATTCGGACACCCATAATCCGGACCTCAAAGCTAAAAAACTTTCTGCGCATGCGTCGCGTTGACGCACGCGCAGAAAGTTTACGTTAGCGCGTAAGTTTACGCTAGGCGTTTACGCTAGCGCGTAAGACCTTTACGGCTGCGCATATGCGTGTGCGCATGCGCGTTTAATGTATAACGGACGGTATAAGCTAAAATTATCTAATTATCTATTTCAGTTAATGTTGCAGATTGCGTTGTTCCTTAATCTTCGAATTGGATCCGGCTTATTATTTTTTCCAGACTGTAAGAGCAATTTTATAAAAGTAAGCTTGAACTTTCGATTATGTCAAAAAGAATTTCCGATGCTGGAGCTCCCAAAGGATCTACAAAGCGAAAGTATGTTTCGATGTCCATCAAACAAAAAGTGGAATTGCTGCAAAAAATGGATAAAGGCATGAAGAAAGTGACAGAGAGGTTAATGAAAACGAAAAAATTTCGATTGACAAGTTAGTCAGTATTCTCGGCATTGCAATTACAGGACTTGAACAGTGGAGCATTGTAACTGAACAAGAAATTATGTCTGTTTATATAGAATTAAAGAGAAAGTATTAGCACATAAAACAAAGCAACTTAAACAACTTACATTGAATGAAATGTTTAATAAAGTAAACAAATAAATATTAAGCTTTTTTTTTTGTAAATTTTGATACCCTTTAGATCATAATTGTTCTTTATTTCATAAATTACAGTTTCATATTTTTAATTTATAATTTCTGCATGCCATCTTACCAGATTTAAACTGATGATGTATAATCCGGAAAAATCGATAATTCGGAATCGCCGAAGTC